ATTCGTATACAGCAGTGTCATCTCCGATTGATTTTTTATTTGAAATTTCTCCTCGGGCGGGAGAATCCACGTTTTTTGTGTCCTGTCTAATATCCTCCTCGTGTGGATTTGGTTATTTGTACGAAACTGGGCCTGTCGAAGACCTGGGGTCTAAACCCACAACGACAAGTTGGCTCTGGCTATGGTTGTTGGGCACAGCTCTATCCACAGGTTTGACTACATGCGTCCGCATTGTCGACCAGATTGAGGATCACAACCCCTGCCTCTCATGTAATGTTTTAAGCTCAAGTGTCTTGCATGTAGGCGACCAACGCCTAAATAACCCAAATCACCCCATGACTGACCGAAGCCCCGAAGCCACTGAATGTGTCCTGAGAAGCAAGCTGTGTTGAACCATACAAAGAAACATGTACTTTGACAAATTTATGAACTAGTTGTACTGCTCCTTTCTATTCATTCCTATCCGAGTATCTCCATGTTCCCTCGTCCATTGATTCACAGACCGTTTCTCCGTATTTCCTCCCACAAATGCTGCACATCGAAACCTCTGGATAAACGATTTACTGTTCCTCTAATTTCCATTAACATGCGTTTGTAGTGCATTCCTCCGTCCTTCTTATTTACCTTCATAACCTTGTTCACTTTGTTTTCCGTTTGCATAGCAATTTTTCTTCCGCCTCCTTATCATCTCTTTTGTGTGTATCTTCTTCTTAGACCTTCCATATACCTGCACTGTTGTTGTACAAAGGAAGTTTTGAACATATGATCATGCTTTGTGCATGCTTCATGGGCTTTGTGAAATATAAATCTAATTGATTATCATTGTTACAAATTATTGCTACGGTTCCATTTTTAACTGTCGTCAGTTAGGTTTATCCAAATCATGACAGAATCAAGGAAAATCACTCCTATTAACCAATGCTCGGCAGTCCTTAACGTGGTCAATTTCACCTGTTCGCACTTCTACCACAAAACCCCCGCCATGTGGTTTTCAGTGGTTCTATCCCACTTTTCGACCAGGAATATCAACCAGTCTGATTCTACAGGTCTAATCAAAACTGAAGCAACAGGTCTCTGTGAAATACTTGTCGGTTCGTATGGGCAACAGCATTTATACTGAAGAAAAATGTTTTCAAAACTAATGATTTCAAGGTTGACTTTGAATGAGGTGGTATTTCTCGAATTGATTAAGTTAGATATCAAACAGATTATTATTATGAAACCTTGTTTAATACAATCTCTCTGGGTTGTGAAAGAATTTCATTTGGTTATCCAGTAGCGTAGCTATAATGGATTATACATTGGATAAAATAATGCTTCATTAAAAATAAGGGAAATGGCAAGGGTTGACCGAAATAATTTAGGCTAATTCTAGAGTCATTCTTATTAGAAAGTATTGCGTTGTCATACTTGAGACACTTTGCGATTCTCATGTTCAGACCATTTATTCTTGGCACTCAAGGTCAGGCACGTTCAACTGACAATCATGCAGCCCAGAAACTACGTCATCGAAGTGGACAAGATATAAATTATTGTCCGTAACTGAAGCATTAATATGAGTGATAAATATAATGAAACTTCCTTTGATCATAAAAAAAATATTTAAGTGCATCACAATCGGCCAGTACTGTAAATTTATCATATATTACAAGCTTCACCTTTAGATCTCGCCGAACTAGTCTTTGATGTCATAAATCCTATCCCAGAGAAGCATCCCTATGAGACAATTCTACAAGCCTTCTCAAATCGCAGCGGCTTGTCAACCGAACAAAAAATCAGAACCGTGATTCCGGGAATGACCCTGGGCTCCCGTAAGCTTTCTCAACTCCTACGAAACGTGGATCAAGAGCTCGCTCGCTTTGAGGTTGACGGTAACTTGCTTCACGAACTTTGGGTCCAAAATCTCCGTAAGGCTGTCTGTACGGTCTTGGCAGCAAGATTTATTTGTCCCCTCAATGTTTCGGCCGAAGTAACGGATAACGCCGTGGTCTTCTACTCACAAGGCAACTCGTTTGGCGGCTCTCCCATCGCCGAAACAGCTGACCAATCTAGCGCTATTGCCACTCGACTGGCGGCTATCTCAGCTCGCCTAGATAGAGTTGAACAGATCACTTCAAAGCCTGTTCAACGATAACACCGGTCCCGCAGGCGGTCAAATGATAGCCCTAGGCGCTCACACTCAGCCTCATCCCGCAGACTACTATGTTGGTACCACCACAAGTGGGATGCCGAGGCGCTCCGGTGCATGGCCCGTGACAGTGGTCGGGGTCATTTAAACAGAGAAAAGGACGGGCCAATGAGAAAGAGCGGCACTACCCATTGACCATAAACCCCCGTAGCCGCTCCTTTCACGTCCATGATAGGTTTACCGGGGCTTATATTTTGGTGGATACGGGTACAGTAGGTATCGTCGTTCCACCGACGACCACAGAATCCTTATGCCTACAACCATCCCCTGTTTTGTCCGCTAGTCATGGAACCCCTATTAGGATCGACGGTAGTAGACGGCTCAGGGTAGACTTCCGCATGCCCGAAGTAACCATTTGGAACTTCATCGTTGCTGATGTGCCATTCCCTATTCTTGGAACGGATTTCCTGCAGCATTTTTCTCTATCCGTTGATACTCGCCGCAGTCT